CCTTTACCGACTTCTCATCTACTAAGTAACCATGGTCTGAAGATCGCAGTTGCTGGTTTAACTCATTTAACCCCCTGCGACTAATCTACTAGCTTTTCTATGCGACACCGGTTAACTGTTTGTAATAACTAGGAATTTCAAATTTCGGATTATTACATTCAACCATACACTCGGCAGATCTGTAATAGCAAGGGTTTCACACTCCGCTTGTATGGCTTTCAAGGCGACTTCAAGCGTTAACAACTTCCCCTGCAAACCCAAAAATCTCCTTTTTTTCGAACTTTAGAATCATACGCACAGGAAAGTAGTCGCACTTTAAAGATTAAGTTAAGGAAAACTCTTTTACATGTACTAAAGTCAAAAATAAGGATGACGGTTCAACAATATATGTATGGACGTAGCATCATATTTTGTAATTTCTATCTAGTGCGGATTTGTTTTTGGCTTTCGAAGAAAAAACCCGATACGCTTACCCTATACAGTTAAACAATATTTCGTTAGTGGTTCTCAACTTCATCTTGGAACAAGCTATACTGGTTTGGTAATGGCGCATTTTCTGAATCTCTTTTTGTGTGTTTTAAGATGCCAGTTGTCTTAAAATGCAACATAGTAATCGTCAGCTCTTCTGTAGAGTCGTGTAGAAGTGAAGAAACATTTTGATGAAGCCATCTCCTTGAGAGCCAGCTTTCCACCATCGAGTAAACTATATCTACTAACAATATCTAAGTAGACGTTTATACGTATGTATTATAAACCCACATGAACGAAACAATTCATAGATATGCACACAAGCAATTTAGGTTTCCTGGAAAGCAAATATATAGATCACCAGTAACCTGGTTTATTAAAACCCCTCAGATGTCATCTGTGGGAACTATTTGCTGAAATCCTTCTCATCACTACACTGTCAACCTTTTATATCTCAAGAATAGTTTACACTGGGGATTTACGCGTGGCTTGGTGCATCGCAAAGCAGAGTTGCGCTGTGTTAGCTTTCCTAAAAGCCACACTAACAACGCAAAACTAAGAATGGTCACATTGGCCAGCAAATATGGAAACATGTCTTCGCGTACGACACGTTCTGGTAACCAGCCCTGAAGGTACCGAAGTTTAATAAGTATCATATTTATACATATAAACAGGAATCAATTTCAACCCCATCAGGCTCTACATTTTTAGTTCTGCTTTTGCGTGTCGTGTGGGATCAGTTTGGCAACCACAGAGCTGACTGAGAGGTTTGAGTGCGATTGTATCCGCATCAGCCTTTGGAGGAGACTGGCCGTTCACGAGAGCTGTAATTAGCCAGAATTGATAAGAGCACACTATAGACTTTTGATAGAAAAGATTCTTTGGGAACCGTGAACGAAGTGTATTGTAAATTTTCGACGCTGGCACACCAGGTCGACGACGAGTAGGGTGGCTATACTATCTCTTCCACTGACAAATGTCGCTGGCAAAGACAAGAGGCTGGAATAGCCATTTCTTCCTCATTAAATGTCATCAACCAGTCATAGCCAACTTCAAGTGGTATACCACTTGATGCTTGAGCCCACGAACTTTGCGTAGTAGTTCAACGCTACTATCACTGAAACTGCGTGTTACGCGTGCTAAGGTTTAGATGTCCCCCTGTTTGGGTGCTACACATCCACTTCTTCCGAACTTCGAATTATTATCCCTTAGTAAAATATTGTTCTTGTACAGGTTGTGTGTCCGTGTGCTCAGAAACGAGGTGTCATATGGTATGCTCTCCCAGGAAAGACTCAACTCGTTGGTGTTTTATGATATTTATGTGACGTTCTGCCGATAACCAACATGCATACGGATGGGATGGGAGGAGGTCCGGCAGTTTATTTATGGTTCTTAATGCGGATAATGGGTAGAGGTGCACTATCCATTGTATACGAGCATCCATGATGCAATTGTGTGGTCACTCTCGTTTAGCCGATCTGGTTGGGCAGCCAATGTGGGCAATACTGCCGCAGCTTGGTATTGGCCGAAATCCGCGCAGACCCTCGTGATGGCAAGCCTCCACTTACCTATTGGACGACTGCTGACTACGTGAGAACCCCCACAGTAATCTGGCACCAATCTGTCCGTTTATTGGCTCTCAAGGCCAGCTCACAAGAACCACAATGCGATGACTGTCCTCAGACCAGCACTTCGGACCAAACCGCCCTAGCGGATGGACGTTCGATCTCACCGTCCGCTGATTCCTGCCTATTTTACTTTCCCTCTGTACAGAGTAAACTCTTCCCTTCATTCTGACCTCCCCCGACTTCTCTTCTGCTAAGAGACCGGGCCGAAGATCGCAGTAGCTAGGATTTAACTTTGTTAAATCCAGGCGATTACGTCACTGTCAACGAATGCCACGCATAGAATGATGCCATCCGGGATTCAGTATAGGCCGGTTAGGGCAGGCACGATTCCGACTTGTAAGAAGATACTGACAGTCCGGACAAAACGCAATGAGGATATTAGATAATTAACTAACCTTCACCTCACATCTGAGGTCAGAGCTTACCTCGGAGACAGCATCTTGCTAACTGTCTTTTTTTCAGAACTGATGTGGCGGTCTGGTACGGATTAGTCTCTACAATCGTTAGTGCCTCGACTAATTCCCCTCCTCTCTCATACAAAAAACGAAACAACCTATAGAGATAATGACTTGGAATCTCATTATGTGGCGTCAATGTTAGTTCAACATCACAGAATATAATTTACGAAAAGGAATGTGGATGGCGGTTTCGTGTTTGTCGAACAGCACCAAGTGTTGACATATAGAGAAGATCTCAACGGCATCTTCCTAAGTATGCATTTTTGACCACGACGACGATAAGCTAGTGAGCGTGCCAAGAGCCCGTAATTATCGACAACCAAACCATCATAAGTCCACCTCGGCCATACGCCAAACTTTCAGCAATCCGTGAGCATAGCTCAAACTGATATGTTTACGAACACTCATGGAATAAAAAATAAAAGTCAAATGAGGTATAAACTGGGCAGATATGTTGCTTGTTTTAATTCTTTTTACACATACTATATAAACGCAGTGAAGCGAGCTTCAAAATCTAGCCGGATTTGAAGAGGAGGATAGCGACCTGGCCCATGTAGAAGTAGATGAATTGCTTGGTCTCATGTGTTACGTAGCTAGAGAAATGGACGGAGAAAAAACGCTATATTATTTTGTGAACAATAAAAAATCAAAGCGCACAGTTTTCTAATGTTAAGCCTTCGAACACATAGATTGATGGAAACTGCCCATATATTTTTTTATCTCAAAATTTTAAACCTAGCGGCCAATCTTTTGCCGGTAAACGCACGCAAACCAGAAATATTAAACTGAAATTGACTATCCGGTTGTCATCAATCAAATGTAACTAGGGCATTTAAATGTCTACTAGTAAAAGTTTTGATACCTCCAAGGTGCATGAATGAGGCAAAAAAGGTTTCTGCATCGAAAAAGAAGCAAACATGTACCTGCCGAAGTTGCGGCCAACAATGCAGTGCCAGGTTGGCCCATGATCTTTGTCAAATTTCTTCTTAATGTAGGCAGCAATGTCCTTCTCAATGTTGTACTGTTTGAGAGCCTCCTTGCCAGCCTGTATGGCGTCCTGTTGCATATCTTCGCTCATGTCAGCATTCTTCACAATAGCCTGGTCGCTAGAAGGGTTCATTGTCTGCTCTGCTCTTTTGCTTCCACTGACCTCAAACCCAGGGCGGCCTTTATATTCCTGCAGACGAGAGGTCCAGACTGATGGGTTCTGACACGCTTTTAGTAGACTGGCTTCAGCCTGAGGCCTACCAAAAGTAGTCTAGCCAAACAGTCTTCTGCACTGCCTGTGTTGGCCTCTGTGAGGTCAGTTTGTTTACCTCGTACGGGTACGCGCAAACAGTTGTCTCGTATCTGTTTTCACCAAGGCTTTGTGCGTGTGTGTGTGCATTTGTGTGGCAACATTTGGCAAGCAGAAAGAGCAAGAGCGTTCACCAGGGAGGGTTTTTTGATGTCCAACGATTCGGGTGGTTGTGTCGCTCGCATGGCGAGATCGGCGTGTAGATGTGGGGGGAGGGGAGGAAATTGCGTTAGGTTGTGGGCATGGTTGGGGTCAGATGAGTGGAGTGCGAAGTTCTGTCATTTGCACGGAGCGAACGACTGTCACTAGGGGGTGGGGGCGATGTGCGATCGCCACCAGCCGTCGGGGTCGGCCACGGAAGAGAAAGTGCTTGTGCCAGCGTCTTCAGGCAACACAGCACTGGATTTGCTAGTCCTATAACCACTGCTTCGGCTGTTGCGAGTACCTATCGGCTCATAGACCCTTAGAAAAGTTATCTGGTGTCCGGTAGACAACCCGAAAGGCTTCATTAGTATCAACTCGATGATTTGTATCGACAAGGTGTGCGAGAATAGAACTCGAGATCCCCTTAGTTTCCCTTTTACTTTACCAGGCCGGTATGTGTTTATGTTCCCTCTTTTCCAGGCATCTCATTGTTCGTCCGATGCATTCTGCTCCACAGGAGCAAGTGAAAGAGTAAATGCACATGAATGTGGCCTTCAGCGGGAGTCGGTCTTTACCTTCGTTCTGATTGAATATTCAGAAGAAGCAAGAGCGTTCACCAGGAAAGGTGTTTTGTCTAACGAATAGGGCAGTTGTGTTGCCCGCCATATTTATTTGTCTAGCCCTATCCGGTTTTACAAAACTTATTATCAGGAGACAGTCACGGCATGAATCAATCGAGAAAGCCAATTGTCAATACAAGCAAACATGCGTGTCCCAGGAAGCAATTGAGAAGAAGAAGACTTGATCGCCGGGACAATTT